GTGATACAAGTCAGGGTCATTTCACTGTCGAGTTGGACCCTCAAATGTCACTGACAGTCAAGTTGAATGCCACCAAGTTCATATGTGACTTCCTTGATGTCTTTAACACCAGTGTTGTTTTCGTTAACGATGACGAAATGATTTCATTAACGCACCTTTTTTTCATGACTAAAACGAGACGGTGACGAGCTAAACATAGCTCTTTGATGAAAAAAATATGACGAGACGTATCTGTCGTTTTCGTTGACGAGAGGAGACGAGACGAAAATGTTAGTGAGTTGGCTCGCTGGCCTGCGAACCTTCGATTCCCAAGCCACATAGCAACAGGAGAAGTTTAAACAACTTTGATTGGCTGGAAAATGATGTTCCTCATTTGCATACCAACCAATCAGCTTCTGGGAGTGCGTGCATGCATTAGAGAGGCTCTCTGCCAGAAAGTTTCTCGTACAGTCATGGATGGCTAGACGTCTATGCAAGCCGTCGTGTATCAAATTACGTTGCTCTTTGGATACAGCCACCCTGTATGCTCGTAAGCTAACAAACATTAACAAAGTAAAATCTTTGTGAGTGATCATGATTTTACGGCAATATGATTTATTTCTTGCCCCAACTTTACTAACTTTGCCAGCTGCAATAGGCATGAACTTATCTGAGGTTTCGCGGCAGTTCGTGCGTTATGCATTATCTAGTTGCATATGCAATCGCGTATTGCGTTACTCTTCAGATTATAAAGCTAGCCATCTTCTTACCTTGCTGACGCTAGTTCAGGGAAATCTTTGTAATCATTGTTATATTATGGCGATATGATTTGGTTTTTTGCCCTAACGGTGAGAATTCCGCATTTGACCTCCACTTTTTCAGCTTTAACTCTGAATCGTCAGCTCTGAGTTGGAGAGTGCCTTTTGTGACTAGATTTTAATGGAAATGGATCCTTTCGCGTCTCTGATCAGGTGTTAAACAGCATCATATGCTACAGTAAGGTATAAGACAGCTGTGCTTGCAGGCTAAAAGTGGTTTGCAGAAATTTCACTGGGAAACGGAAGTGTTCTGTATTAAATTAAGATTGTTCCGGGTAAAACTGATACCTTTTGGAAATAATTTGTTTTGCGTTCTGAGTGGAGTTGTATTTCTTGTGTAATTGTAATTTGTCATTTGGAAAATGTAACGTCTTTATTGAGATCTCTTTAGCAGTGCAGTATTACAAGCCCAGTCCCTGCAGAGGGAAAGAACCCATTACCAGGTACATGCAAAGCCACATGCTACACAACATGCCACACACATTTAAAGCTAGGTCACTAGGAGACAGTGCAGGGTGAGAGGCACACAGTGCTAATAGTGTTCATTCGCATGACAGTAAGTGTTCATACAAAAAGAATAAAAAAGCCCTTTATCATTTAAAATCTGATTGACTGTTTTCTAATTTTTGCTAATCATTTTTCAGATGCGCTAAACAATTGCAAATCAATTGATATAATATTGATTAATGATTAAAAAATAGTAATAATTTTTTTTCCTTAATCTGATCACTGATATTTGAGTTACTGTGAAACATATGGGAGAAATGTAGCTTTTCAGACCTGTTGCTGTTCCTTATGTCTAAATGAGCTGCAGCACACCTGGCTACTCTAACGTTAGTAGCATGTTTAGCCAGCATATTTACATTAACGGGCAGCGTGGGTATCTTTTAGTTGTGTGTTCATCATGGCATGTTTGTGCTCTATCTGCGCGTTGCGACATGTTAAGCAGGTCGAGTTATGTGCTTTGTTATAATACGTCGAGTCTGCTGCTGTGCTAAAGCCACAAGGGTCTGACAGTGACATTGCACACAGCCATAACCACAGACTGTGCTTTTTGCTGTATTTTGCTGTGGGGTTGTATAAGTTAATGTCTGTTGTACCTCATAATAGTCAGAGAGATCATATGCATGTTCTCAATTGCACTGGCAGTGGCAGACAAGGTCAAGTTGAGCATATGTGTTCCTGATCTATTGCTCATACAGCGCCCTCCATAATTATTGGCACCCCTGGTTAAGATGTGTTCTTTAGCTTCTAATAAATTCAGTTTTTTTCTAAATAATATAGGACCACAATGAAAAAAAGAGGAAAATCCAACCTTTAATTCAAGTGCATTTATTCAGTGGGAAAAAAAACCCACATTAAGAAATAATTCTTTTACATCAAATCATGTGTGCCACAATTATTAGCACCCCTGATGTTAATACTTTGTACAACCCCCTTTTGCCAACAAAACAGCACCTAATCTTCTCCTATAATGTTTCACAAGATGGAAGAATACAGAAAGAGGGATCTTGACCATTCCTCTTTGCACAATCTCTCTAAATCATCCAGCGACCTGGGTCCTCTCCTCTGCACTCTCCTCTTCAGCTCACTCCACAGGTTTTCAATGGGGTTGAGGTCTGGGGACTGAGATGGCCATGGGAGGAGCTTGATTCCGTGTCTGGTGAACCATTTCTGTGTAGATTTGGCCACATGTTTAGGGTCATTATCTTGCTGAAAGACCCAGTGACGACCCATCTTCAGCTTTCGGGCAGAGGCCACCAGATTTTGATTTAAAATGTCCTGGTATTTCAAACCGTTCATGATGCCATGCACCCTAACAAGGTTCCCAGGGCCTCTGGAAGAGAAACAGGCCCACAGCATCACCGATCCTCCCCATACTTCACAGTGGGCATGAGGTGCTTTTCTGCATACTCATCTTTTGTGTTCCGCCAGACCCACTTAGAGTGTTTGTTGCCAAAAAGCTCTATCTTGGTCTCATCTGACCAAAGCACATGGTCCCAGTTGAAGTCCCAGTACCGCTTAGCTTAACTCCAGGCGTTTGCGTTTATGATTGTGAGTGAGAAAAGGTTTTTTCCGTGCATGCCTCCCAAACAGCTTGTTGGCATGTAGATAGCGCCTGATGGTTATTTTGGAGACTTTGTGACCCCAAGATGCTACCATTTGTTGCAATTCTTTAACAGTGAGCTTTGGAGAACTTTTTATTTCTCTTACTATCCTCCTCACTGTGCGTGGTGGCAAAATAACCTTGCGTCCTCGTCCAGGCTTGTTTACCACTGTTCCAGTTGTTTTAAACTTCTTAATGATTCCTCTGACAGTAGATATGGGCAGGTGCAGGCGAGTGGCTATTTTCTTGTAGCCATCGCCTGACTTGTGAAGGTGGACACACATCTGCCTTACTTAAATGGTGTGTTCCTTTGTCTTTCTCATGTTGAAGAGTGGATAAGAGAAATGGCCACTGTGTCACGTCATATTTATACCCCAGGGAAACAGGAAGTGATGAATTACTAATTAAATGTTCCTAGATACTCTGATCAACTTTGTAAACTACTGTAGAAATGACAGAAATACTTCAATTACATTTATTTCCTAGGAATTGTTAGGGGTGCCAATAATTGTGGAACAGGTGATTTTATGAAAAATAATTATTTCTTAGTCAGGGATTTTTCTTCCCCTTAAAATGCACTTGAGTTGAAGGTAACATTTTTCTACAATTTTCAGTGTGAGAGTATGCTTCTGCAATAAAAATTGAATTTATTTTAAGGCTTTTAACACATCTTAACCAGGGGTGCCAATAATTATGGAGGGCACTGTATGTTGGGCTTGTGTGTGTTAATTGCACTTTAATAGGTTCTCAGAAATAAAGCCACAAAGAAAGAATGTTTTGTTTCTTGACTGTCTTGGAGTGATGAACATTGATTCCACTCACTGTTACCACTTTATCTGTGTATAAAGCACTATTATTAGTAGATCAGCAAGTACAGCATGACAGAATTGCATCTTCATGGATGGGAAAGTCTAGGCTAGTGCTATCAAACTGGTAAGGAATCTAGTTATTATACAAAGGTGTTAAGAGAGTTAACTGTTGCTTTATGAATTGCAACACAACCTGTAAACCTCAATTACAATTTCCTATATCTGTATTGGCCTAATTTAATCTTTTAAAGTCATTATTCTTTCAAGTAAAATTAATGACTAAAACTGTACTAAAACCCTTTTAGTTTTCGTCGACTAAAACTAGACTAAAACTATCAATGATAGAAATGACTAAAATGTGACTAAAACTTATAAGCATTTCGTCCAAAAGACTAAGACTAAAACTAAATCAAAAATGGCTGCCAAAAACAACAGTTTAACACAAAACTAGGCTCCATCTGTGGCTATTTTAGTGATAGAAGTCATTGAATTTTCACTAGGTCACATTTGACCTTCGAAGGTCAATATGAAGGTCACCAAATCAAAGTTCATTTATGACTTCCTATATGTCTCTAATACAAACCTAGGCTCCATCTGTGACCATTTTGCCAATACAAGTCATTGTAATTGTATTAGGTCAAGTTTGACCTTCAAAGGTCACCAACAGTGCTACCATGCTACTGTGCTTCACTCATGCTACCAGGCATACCCTTGTCAAGATGACAATACTCCCAATTCTGGACTACGGTGATATCACCTAGAAAATGGCATCAAGCACTGCCCTCAAAAAACTGGACACTCTTCATCACTCAGCCATCCGCTTTGCCACCAATGCACCCTTCCACACTCACCACTGTGATCTCTATAAATTGGTGGGCTGGCCCTCCCTCCATACCCGGCGGCTCCATCACTGGTTTCACCTCGTCTATAAGACTATTCTGGGCAAGACACCATCCTATTTGTCATCTCTTCTTCACCTCACCCATAATAAATATCGTACTAAGTCAAGTGAATACATTAAGCTCATTATCCCCAATACCTCTACTATTTTTGGCCGCAACTCCTTTCGTTTTGCAGCACACATGACTGGAACACTCTACAAAACACCCTGAAACTCGCTACTTTGACGTCCCTTACCACTTTCAAGCATAAGCTCCAAAAGATTATAGTTCACTGTTGTTCTTGCTGATCAACCTGGTTCATACTTACATGCATACATTCTCACACACACAAACACACACCCACACTTTTTCTCCTATACTTCATACACATGCATTATACATGGGTGGCATGGTGGTGTAGTGGTTAGCACTGCCACCTCACAGCAAGAGGGTCGTGGGTTCGAATCCGGCCTGTGGCCTTTCTGCGTGGAGTTTGCATCTTCTCCCTGTGTTTGCGTGGGTTTCCTCCGGGTACTCCGGTTTCCCGCACCCGCAAAAAACATGCATTATCCACCTTATTCCCACGTCCCATGACCCCTTGCGCAAATTATGGGTGCAACTTCCGCTGCATCCTGTCACTGAACAGTTTACCATGGTAACGGCTAACACTAATAATCTTTTTTTTTTTTTTTTTTAAGCAATCGGTAAATAATATATGAGGGAACATCACCTTTTACTCCTCAGACGGGATAACGTTACAGTACCGCTGCCTTCTACTATCGAGGAATGGGAGAGCGACCTGAAGCAGTGGCCACAGATAACGAACACTAGCGTATTTGCCTACATTAGCGACTCCATTGCCACAGACTGTGAAGCTATGAACAATCTAAAAAGCTCTGAATCGTATGCAGTACTTCCACAGCAACAAGGTTGGTCGCATTTCGTTAAAGGAGGTAGGACACGATCTTATGTACCTTAAAGCAGATATACTTTCTGACAATATTTAAGAAGGATACACTATATTTCAGAGGTAAATATTACTCTACATATGAAATGTAATGGAGTGTTATGCAGAGTAAATTAAGCCATCCGACAGTACATGAGGCAAATTAGCTCTACTCCAGCCAACTATATTATTCAGTGTAAAGTTGCTTGCTAATCCAATACTATAACAAGTAAAACACAGCAAGTCCATTTTGCCTATACTTTTAATTTTAGTGAATTGAGGTTTGGAGTGCAAGACTATTGTTTGAAACGGAGTTGGCTGTTTTCACATTGTAGTAGACTATTGCTACTTCTTCAGCCTCATCTTAAACTGTACAGGATGAAATGTTAGTTACACTGACTGGCATTCTCGGACGAATATAACAATCTTCTCTCTGCCCTGCACATGAAATCATACCGGATGCGCTCCTGACACTGCTGTCAAAATGCTTTTGAGAACCCGGCGTCTCCTCTGCGGCAGTCTGTCTGAGCCTAGCCATAAAGTAGGAATCGCTGTTTGTCGACATAATAAAATGAGCACCTAATGTTTTTGGGGGACTATTCACATTCTGGCTTCCTCTTCTGTAGGTAGGCGATGGAAACCGTATCACCGAACACAAGGACAATCCCCTATGTTCTGGGTGCGTGTTCAAAACACTGTTGATCAAGCCATAAATTTCGCTTCCTCTGGTTGTTGGTACAGCCTTGAACAGCACAACAGATGCCGGAGCTCCGAAGAACATTTTAAGAAAAGCAAGTAAATTTGTTAAAAAACGAGCTGTAATCGCTAAGTTAACTGAATTATTTTCAAATGAACCGCCACTGTTACTGACTAGCCACTCGCTAACAGCTACTTCCGCCGGAAGTTGCACCCATGATCATATCTACAGTAGCGCCCTCAGGAATAAGGTGGATAGGAACACTCCTGCCAGTACCCCTGACCAAGGCACTGGCTTTAGAACTCGAGTTGGTCCCCGGCTAAAAACCCGCCAACTTATTTCACATTTCCACTTCAGGTAAAGTCAGCGTGTAAGTTCTTACTTTGCAGATGTCTACCTTGGCCCTCTGGATCGAACGAAGGCGAGACATAGGCGACTCATACTTCGCATCTTATTAAAAGTAATCTGAAGGATAGCTTTTCCAGGGCTATAAAGAAAGTTGCTGCCACAAGGATGGCAACGCTGGACACAAAAAGTATTATTTCAAGTCCAAGTTTTCATCTCAGGCCTATTAATTAGAATAGGCAATAGAAAGTTGTATTACATCAATACACGTAGCCAGCATGTGAATTTTTTTTATAATTAGTTTAGCGGCATTGTCAGTTTAATAGTCATGGGACTGACCGGTTTTCTGTCGAATTATGCTGTAAAAACAAAAGAAAATAGACCTGCATGAAACCTGTTCACTGCCGGTAATTAAGTTTATAGTAATGCTTTGAATACAACACTATGATCAGAACCAATTTATCGCAATCCTAAAACAAGACACTGAGAGTAACATTCGTCGATGCTAAAACCGCCCACAGAGATGTCTCTCTACAAGACTTGAGACAGAAATCCAGGGTGGAGTCAAACAGTTAGTCGCCAAGACGTAAAATTTCCGCATTGCATGCTGCTTCAGTTGTCACGACATTCACTACAAATCACGCAGGGTTCACCATTCTATGATTGTTCTACAGAATTCTAGTAAAGGCGCAACTGCATCATAAATCTGTCACTGAGATTTACTGTGAATTTTTTTGCGGCTTGCCATTTTTTTTTACGCGCCAAAAATGCAAGGGCGCATTGCTGAAAGAACACTGATGGCCTGTGTAATAATTAGATCTAAACATAATTGCACCTTTATAGGAAGTTTTGGATATGAGTGCGTGATCTCGAAATTCCGCTTCTCTCATCCCTCTTAGAACTGTAGACAGTGCTTATTGAAGTTTGGAATAACATCTCACAACAAACAGATCAGGATTCAAATGAAAATATTCCTAGAGGATTGAAACCATTTTGAAAGCAAAGCGTGAGACCGCTGGTTATTATTTATGCAATATTGTAGGTGTTTCCAATGAGCTGTTTATTCCCTGTACATATTCAGAGCTTACCACTCATCAGTTTCTTCCGCAGTTTCTGACTTTTGTTGGAGTCTCTCTGCAGGATTTTCTGTTCCTCATTGGTGCACACCTGCAAAACAGTACAGCAACAGCTGAATCTGCAGCTGCTCTACTCCAGTATAACATACCACCATGCTTGAGCACAACCACATCTGAGCCTGTATTATGCTAAACATGGTAGCGCTCTGCAAGCAGCCATTTCAAAATCAAACTAATACTACAGAGAAGGACTACAATTGTCACAGACTCAGAAATTATTGACTATAGTTGCCAAGTTATGCCATTGCATTGTGGACACAACTAAAAAATAAGGATAATTAGTAAGAATTTTCAAGCAAAAATTACTTTTTGAATTCAACAAATCCCAATATAAAACCCCTCATTTGTCAATCACGTCAACCATGAGATGTGCTTTATGTACTTACCTGGCTGAAAATATACATTGAAACAACACTTCAAAATTGAAAATTAGTCCACGCTTAAATGAGGACACAAGGAAAATTAATAAATCAGACAATTATCTCATATTTTGAACAGTTCCAAGTTCAATAAAAAATAAATACTAGCATCTCGGAGCCCAGGAATTGTGAAACTACCAGCAAAGCACAACAGTTGTGCTTGCCTTTGGTAATGCATTTGCACCTTATTTGCTAAAATTTAGCTGATAACAAGCAATTGCCCACTTTTGACATTTTAGTCGAAATTGAGTTGACGATAGTACGTAAATGGTAATAAATAGTTCTATCAAATAATTAACCCCTTTGCACAGAATACAAATATTGTCAATTTTTTCCTGTTATGCATGATTTATTTTATTTTATTCAACCCTTATTTAACCAGGGAAGTCCCGTTGAGATTGAAATCTCTTTTTCAAGGGAGCCCTGGGAGTTGAGATGGGGACGGAGAGGGCAATTTGCACAGCCAATTAGATCAGGAGATGATTAGGTGGCAGGTTGAAAGAGCCAGGTTGGGAATTTAGCCATGACACCGGGGAACCCCCAACTCTTATTGATGAGTGTCATAGGATCTTTAAAGGGGACCTATTATGCTGATCCTTCTTTTAATACATATAAGTAATGTCATGATGTTGGATGTCCATACTCAACCTCTGAAAAGTTTCTAAACATAAGATACAGGGGTTTTGCCGTAATCCAAGAACGTGATTTCGTCCCGAGATCTTCACGAGAACTGGGCAAAACCTGACGTCAGGTTGTGCCGCCCAATTAATACAGACCTGGCCAGAGCCAATCACGGCGCTGGACCTGCCCACACTGGAAACTATTCTAGCAGGCACAAACAACCGCGGATCATACTATGCCTTAGTAGCGTCAACACTTTTGGAAATACAGAAGAAGAACCGCAGATCATTTGAGGTGCAGTTTTGTCAGTATCTCTCCCAAAGCTGCTTGTCCTTTTTTTTTGGATGCAAAGAAAAGCACCTATTTCTCTTCCAAAAGACGATGCCTCCAGAAATCAGTGGGTAGCTTTTTTTTTTTTTTTTTGCTGGCAGCAAACAGCCACGGCCAAAGGGAACATTAGCTGTTTGTGCTCAGCATTTCACCAAAGACAGCTTTGTTAGTAAAGGATAATTCGACGCTGGATAAGCGTTTCAGCTGTTCCTCAAACCTGAAGCAATTGCATCGATCAACCGCTCAGAGCCACAAGCTGTAAGTAACGATATAATAGCAAATAATGTAAGTGAAGCTAACTTGTTACGGGTGGCTAGCAGGACTGCTAACAATAGTTAGCACTAACAACTGGCCTCAAACGCAGGTTTTGTAAAATATCTGAAGATAAAGCCTGTATCGGTCGCGACTGTCCGTGACTCACAGACGCGGAAGCTGTAAGTTGCTTTCACGGCATAAGCCTACCTAACCTGATGGCCTGTTGATTGTGGCTGTAGCACTGCGGCTAACGTAGTCAAGTTACTGTTGCTAATGTTTGTGTCCTAAATATCCTAGAGTAATATCAGGGGAAATTCAACAGAAGGTATGTGAACATAAACCTCATTTGAAGCAAACTTTTTATACTTGTTTGTAATGTGGATGCTTGGTACAACTGTCCACGGTAAAGGAACTTGCTGTCTGTAAAACCTGTATTGCAAGGGTTTGTCTCTCTGGTTGTTACGACTGCTCGGTTACCAGCTACTGCATGTTAGTTTACATGCTGCACTACTTAAAAATGCTCCTGGTTAACTTATATGCAGTAATTCTGATCGGTATGCTTGTGTTACTTCGGTAAGCATCAATGTGGCAGTTTCATAAAATGCTGCCCGATTGTACCCACTATAGTTGAAGCTAGCTGGAGAGGTGCTGTATGTGTCTGCAAAGTTGGGCTGAAAAGGCTGCAGTTAGACCAGACTTAGGTTTTGCAGAGCTTGGGATACGTGTTTGG